CTATACTCTAGAGTAATCATTAAGAAAATAATTCAAACATATAGAGTTTTAAAGATAAAAATATAAGGAAAGATTTTACCACAGCCTTACAAAGATAAAAACGTTTATAAGTGCATATAAAAAACTCTATGCCAAAAATTTTATAAACTGAACAAAATCCAAAAAGACACAAACTATAGAAATGACTCAAAAATAGGAAACTTGAATATTTTAATAAATAAAGAGATTGAATGAATAAATAAATACAAATACAAACATAGGCCTAGATGATTTCTCTGGTGAATTCTACCAGGCACTTAGCAAACAAATAATGTTAATTCTTACAAATTGTATCAAAAAAAGGAAGAAAGAAAAAGGAAAGAAATACTTCATAATTCAAACTATGAGACCAGTATCACCCTAGTGCCAAAACCAAAACCAGCAAAGATTTTAGAAAGATTGAAATATCTCTTATATATATTCCAAACAAAATACTAACAACCTCAGTCCAGGAACATTAAATACCATAACCTGCCAATCTGCCATTACCAAACGACACTTAGTTCAGTAGAAACCAAATGTGAGAGATAGCACTTAATATAAACTTTTACAGCAATTTGATGGAGTTTATCTGTTTAGTATATGTAGTCATTAAAAAATAAGACTTGTGTTTAGTACATTTTAATCATTTTTCTCCTAATTTACATTTTTTGTGTTTTAATAAGGCACAAACTCATGAAAGTTTGAAAATTATTTACAAATCAAAAACATGCCTTTTCCAACGATAGAGAAGCAATGACCTTCAGATGAACAAATAAAAATAAATTTCAAAATATTGAAAGGAAGAAGCAAATTTGGAAATTATATGCAGTATCTTCCAAATGATTTTATAGATTAATGTACACATAATAAGATGCAGACTGTCTACACAGTAAAGTAGTTTCAAGACACACAATAAAAAGTCTAAGAGTTGGAGGGAGCCAGTCTGAGAGTGACACACCATGTCCGAGGGGCACTATCTGAAGAAAGAGTCCCAGACAGATAAGGGGTAAACTGTATCTGCAGTGTTTTGCTTCTTTTTAAAAGTATCTCTTTTAAAAATGTTAATATTTGTCTTTACAATTTTCTCATTTCATCATGAAATATAAAAACGTAAATTGAAGTTTTCTTTCAAATAAAATATTAAGTGCAGGTTGCCGGAAATTGTCCCATAAGCAAAGAGAGATGGAGAGAGAGGAGAGAAAGAGAGGGAAGGAGAGAGAAAGAGAGAGAGAGAGAGAGAGAGAAAGAGAGAGAGAGAGAGAGAGATCTAAGATAACATCAGCTTTTCTAAATTACCTGATGAAGTTCAACAAGCTAAGTATCTTTCAAAAGTCATTTATTAAATCGACTACCGAGAGGAGCAATATAAGCTACTAGGAATATGCACATTGTTTGTTGAGGACGCAGAAACACCGGAAGGAACCTGCTACTAAAGGGAGATCCTATTAGGCAAAAAGTCTCCATATGTACACAAGACGCACACCTAAATCACCGTGACTCAGACAGTCAGGATTGAAAGGGAAGAGTCCCCTGTCATCGCTTCATTTTCCCTGTTGTCATCATCCACACTTCACACTGGTCTCCAAAATACCACCTGGCAAATGGAGGTTTCTAGGAAAGATTCTGAAGTTCAAAGGAGGGAAAACTTTTCTAGCAACAGATGCCAGACAGATGCTTTCCCTCCTCCCTCCTTTTCTTCTTCCTCTTCATTTTTTAAATTCAAAAGATGGGCAGGTATGAGCCTTATGCCAGCTGCCCCCTCAGCAGGCTCAGCATGAGTGGGTTCCTTTGTGTCTGAAATCAGCGAACACCAGATGTCAACCTGGAGGTTCCCATCACAGACAATATTCCCGCACTGGGGGTGACTTAGGAAACTGCTTTCAGTCCTGCTTCATTAAATTCAATGTGAAGCTAAAGAGAATCCAAACTCCTTGAAAGTGTTTTCCCTTTTACCTACGACACCTTTGCTGTGATAAAATGGAAATGGGAGAGATGTAAAGATGCTGCCAATCTAGGCAGCTTGAAAATCACTTAACAGGGTGGATGCAATTTACCAGAAATAGGGTCAAGGCTTTCAGAGAAAATACTTCAGGGCTGATTACATGGTATTAACAGCAGAGATGTTTCTGTGTGTTACTGAACAATGGTGACATAAGAATAACAATAAAAACTCTTCATTTTGACTCTGGCTCTCCAGTGCTGATCATTCTGGACTCCTTTCAGTGGAAATCTGAGTGATTAAATGGTTGATTTCCCAGAGACAGAGCTTAGTGTTAACTAGGTTTGAGACAACACAAAACCTCAACAGACTGTCTTAAAATAGTAAACCCTGGGAAGGTCAGAGAGTCCTCTTGTTTTAATTCACCACCTAAATTAAAGTCAACTATTTTTCAGAATCAGATGTTCAACTGTGTAGTTGGAAAAAAAAAAAAAAAAGATATCATGGGTTGTGTGCATGTGTTGAGAAATCTGCCCTGCAGAATTTTGCAAGAAATCATTTCAACTGGTTCTTCAGATCTGAAGAAAAAAATCAGAACCATTTCACCAGAAAAAGGAACATGCAGTCTGCCTCAGGTAAAAGGTTTTAGTTATTTGTGAAAATTTCCTTTCTTCTCTGTCATGTTTAAGGAATAAAATCAGACACAAAACCCAGCTTGCTAGGTTTATTAGGATCCATAGTTCCTAAGCAGTTTTCATAACACCTCAGCATATCTCCAACAAACCTAAATATTTTTCTACTTAATTTTACCCCCACTTAAATGTTTATGTTAAACCCGAAACTCAGGAGTAGAGTAGTTTGGAGAAATTACAACTCCTCATTGACATCTGTCCTCATGTCCTCCTGGGCCCACCAGGGCTGCTGACACCAACTCTGCTTCAGGGTTAGAATTCCACTTCTATTCTGTAGCAAAGCAATCCTACCATCAAAGCCTGCAGTTTCTTAGCAAGAAAATGGGAGACAATATGCAGTTTTGTCAGGATCCTTGGGGGTTTTACGAACCTCTCTTTTATCAAAATCCTCAGATGCTCAATTTCCTTTATAAAAAAAATCAACACATGCCATGTTGGATCTTAGGGCGCTGGGAAACAAAGCAACCCATTCACCTCCCTGGTAAGCAGACTTGAGCCTACTTGCATAAGGGCTAAGAATCAAACACCTTGCTCATTCTGCCCCGTTAGCAAATGGGAGCCAGAGGTCTGAGCATCTCTTGGGAGGTTGACCATGTGCAATACAGCAAATATGAGGGATTTCCTTCTACCATCTCTTTGAAGGGAAATATTGTTATCACTGTTTTGCTTTGTTCTGATTAATGGTATTGCTCTATTCAATATTGTTCTGATAAGTTCTATAATGTTCTGTATTTGGTTTGACTTTGCTATACCTGATTGAAAGGACAACTATTGTGAAGATAACGAGATATACTATGGTACCCATTTCTGTTATCCTGGTATCCTGCTGTGAAGTTCTGTACCAATTTCACTGTATTATCTCAGTTGGCTTTGTTCTGTTGTATTTTACTACCTTCAAAATAATAAAAAATTTAAAAATCAACAAAGTGTTTGCATATAACCTATACACATCCTCATATGTAATTTAAATCATCTCTAGATGACTCATAATACCTAACACGATATAAGTAGTTGTTATACAGTATTGTTAAGGGAATTATGACAAGAAAAATATCTGTATACATTAAGGAGAGATACAGCATATATTCATAGATATTTTCGGTCTACACGTAAGGAAGTCCAACTTTTTTACTGTTCTGTTTTGACATGTCAAAGGTTTAATGTGTGTCAAGTACATAGTGCCTATTCTAAGTAATATAAATGTTATTTTATTGTTTTCTTTAATAGGGCCATTGTTCCAGCTAAAATAATTTTACAGCAGTAATGTCAGTGACAAAATCAAAACAATTATTGATTTTAAAGTTTTGTAAACATATATATGAATTTTTATGTAGAGATATTAATGCATATTTAAAAACAAGACAGAATATTCAGTGGTTATAAAGATGGTCAATAAATTTTATCCTTAATTTTTTCTACTTTTCTAAACTTTACTTTTGTAATAAAAATAGAATTTTATGAGGAAATAAATGATAGGTTACATTTCTAGAGTTCGGTAATTTGTCCCCAAAGATGCTTTTAATCCAAGCTTCTTTAATAAGGTGGATGTTGATCTATAATTGGAAATATAACTTCCAATTTGTGTTTCAAAATTTGATCCTTAAGCAATAATCCCCAGCTACTTCTAAAACTGAAATTTGTTCCAGACCTCAGTAGATTTCTCACTGTTAACTACAACTATTTTTATTTTTTCTTTATTTGTGTTAGAAGCAACTGCAAATGCTAGAAATTAGTCTTAAAAGTAGCCCACATTTTCCATGGTGTACAATAGTCCACTAACTTTATTTTCTCCATCGTAAAGGGTTTGAAGTGCCAAAGGAGCTTCCAGATGGACTAAGACAGGAGATGTGATATTGTGTTTATCTTTTGAAGAACCCAGAGTTCTTTTATAAAACAGAATTTCTCGGTCACTCTTTTGGGGATCGAACTCGTGACCTCAGACTTGCCAGGCAGGCACTTATACCTGCTGAGTTAAATCCCCAGCCCCTTCAACCTTTTCTAAGCAAAAGCTCTTAAGAAGGAAGTAAGAATGAAGCATAGACCTACATTTTTTAGCAAACCTAAGCAACACCAGTACTTTGGTAGTTCTGGGGTGAGCTAACTATTAGTTGGCCAGATTTGGACATAGAACTCTGCAAAAAAACACAGTGAAATTTAGTAAAAGTATGTAGATTCATTTTATATGACATATAACAACATATATACGTTTATATATAATATATATACACTTCTGTACCTACAAAATTCTATATATTTGACATATTATGGACCTATATTACCAGATCTCCATCATCTTTAATAACCCATAATGTTTACAATTTCTTCTAGGCAAAATAATCCTCATACAAAGTGCTTAAATTCATTTATTTCATCCAATACATGGCGGGTAACGGTAATTCTTCACAGTTCCCCTTAGACGACTTCTTTGCTTTAGCTTCTTGGTTTCCAGTATCAGAAATGCAAAGAGATTGTATTAGTCAGTTTGCTCATCACGGGACACAGAAGGAGACATCTGATTTGCATGTGGTTTCAATTCATACGTAATTTGGCTCCAAAACAGAAATCATGGCAGAATGACAGGAGGCAGCATAGCTGCTGCTCATGGTAGCTAGGAGAGAACAGATAAAAATGTCAGAGGAAAGGAGCTGGGGACCACTCATCCCACAGCCACACTCCCAAGGCTTACCCAGACACACCTAGAAACATGTTCCGCCAATCCCTGGGCTGGATTCTAAAGTCAATCAAATGGCAATGCTACCCTAACTGCTACAAAAATTTTGCTGGCAGAACAGCCTGTACCTTTTTCTCTTTGCAGTTCGGCCAATTCTGAAGTTGAAATGTCCTTTGAAACTGGTTTGTGGGAAATGAAGTGACTACTTAATAAGGGGTAGGATCCAGGTAGATGGGAATAAATGAATACTCAATTATTTGTATGTCGATTGTTTTAATAAATTCCCACTCCAACTGTAACATTAGACTGCTATAAAACAATACCTTGATTGAACTTTACTTCAATTTCAACTACAAAGTTTTCTTTCAATCAAGTTATATAGACACTAATATTATTCAGAGTGACATAATAATAATGAAAATAGCCATGTATTTTTCAAATCACCCTCAAATACATATTCCAATTTTTACTCTTAAAGTATATACTTTTTATGTGAAGAACAAATTTGAAATATAAATAAAAACAAAAATTGTCTCCTCTGAGGAAGAGCGGTATAATGAAAATAGATTGTTTTCATTTTCTGCACTCAATTTTTATCCTAAGAACAATTTAACCAAGGCAGATGACTCACTGGACTGCGTCTCCCTACACTGCAGAATTGGAGTATGCATGATCTGTACTTATAATTCAAGTGAGGAGTATTTATTTATAATCATATTTAAAATTTTATTTTCATTAAACTCAAAATAGATGATCTCTTGAAGGATTCATTATCTACAAAAGAATTCCATAGTGATGTCGTCATCTCAAAAGCTATGACTATTCTAAAGAATACCAAGCAAAAATATTTCTAAGATTTAAATCTTACCGTTCAAATAATCTATTAGTGCACATTTCACCAGAATTCTAAATGGCAATCCATGGTGCTCAGATGCGATAGTTTTGATTGTTTTCTCTTGAATGTGCTTCTAAGATAAAAGATTAGTTTCTAATTACAAGATAATTACATCTTCTCTGGAAGATGGTTCAGATTTGGAGCTAGTCCAAATCAAAAAATTTTAAAAACCCAAGTCTAAATTTAAAAAAAAAAAAGTCTTTCGTTCAAAAGGACACTGCTTTGCTGAATATTTCTTGCAAACTGTTTAGAGTCTGAGAGCCCACAGAGGAAGAAGAGTGAATGGAAATTCCTTTCCAAGTCACTTTAACTGGGTATTGGTGACCATACAGGAAAAGAGAGGCCACAACAGGAGCCCCGAGGGTTTCAAGGCACAGAGGAAAGGAGCAGATCAAAGGAAATTGTTTCTTCTTTTGATAAAAAGCCTCCCTGAACCAATGACCTCTTGTGTTCCAATTTATTTAGTATTCTTTTTAATGTGATATATTCAAAGAGTTCTTTCTTTCTCGGGGAAATTCAGAAAAAGAATCATATTTAATTAACCAGCCAAATGAATGAAAATTTCATTTGAAGTAAAACATTTTTGAAATGTTTGACTTAGCCCCATAATATTGTGCCCAAAGTGACTTCAGATTTTGACTCCTAAGTGGTTTTTCATATTCAATTAAATTCTCTGGCTTCAAAGCTATTTAAGAAGCATTCTGAGCCAAAGATATTTCAGTTACCTTCAAGGCCTCCAGGGACTGCTCCTCCAAAAAAACAGGTCATTTATTCTGCAAACTCATAAATGTCATTGCAAACACACCCCAAAATTTCACTCATCACACACAGGTTAAGTGAACCTCTGATTGGAAATAGAATGAATAGTAATAACTTCTGAATATGTTCCATATTTTTGCATACTGTCATCTCCAGTTTGTTTTCCTTTGCTGCCTCAGCACTGGAATTTATTAAGATATATTAAGAAGGGGACCGAGATTCTTATTTCAAATGCTCCTGCCAGTCCCCCACATAAAAACAAAAACAGTAAGTGTTCATTGATACTGATAATTCCCATCACTGCTGACAAGTTTCACTATTTTTTTTTTTCCTTCTTTTTTCCAGCTGAGAAAATATTTGCTCTTAAATATCTGGCTAAGGAATGTCAAAAGTCCAGCAAAGTCACGGGTATCATCTGAAATGGAATTTTTGAGGAAAAGTAACATGGAATATTAGAGCTTCCCAGAAATTTTGATAACTTCCACAAAATCCAGGAAATCATCAAAAACAAAGAGCAGAATCACACGTCTCTTGTCACACTGATACTGAAGTGTGTCAGAATAGGAGGTTCAGGTTAGAACCCAGTGACGTCCACAATGATGGATCCGGATGTGCAGGTGCCACCCTGGTACTGACTTCAGCACCAGCTTCTCGTACCCGGACCAAGCCGGAACAAACCGGTAGAACTCAGTTAGGGAGAAAATGCTTTTCCTCCTCTGTGTCTGTCATTTGAAGACCAGATGAAAAGTACATTGTTTCTCTTACTGAATCATCTTGTAAAACACTCATGGTCCTTGCCATCCGGTATTGAGTTCAATGAATTTTTGGGTCCAAAATATGCGTGTGGGTGGAAGGAGTGGTTTTAAACACAGTTCAGCTGTGAGAGGTCTAGCTAGAATCAAGTTAGACTGAACTTGTGCAAGATGTACAAACAAATCTCCACAAACAAGTGTCCCACCATTGAAGTTACTCCAAAACTCCACCTCCAAGCTGAGGAACCACCTAGGAACTCACAGCTATGAAGAATCAACTCTGGGTCACGTTGATGTACATCCACTACATTTCATCAGAAATCACTTGTGGTAATCATATCAATATGTTTCAGAAACAAATACCAAAAATATTACTTACTTTGTAAAGCTGCACGAAAGTAAGACTCTCCAATAGTGTAATAATATGAATCTGAGAAAGCAGAGACCAGACCCTGAGACAGACCCTGAGGCAAGGCAGACATGCTCAGTGCATGACATATGCATGCATCATGAAATTCGTAATTAGTGCAATGAATGTATGCTAATAAAAATACTGTCTAAATGTAAATGTATCCAATTAATATAATGAATTTCAATTCTGAAATAATTGTCTCAATTTCTCTCACATGGAGAGTAAGAACCTGATAGGGAGTGAAATATTGGCACAGATCTGAAAATCACGCTCAGAGTCATTACAGACTAAGGTAGTGTGTTCATTCTTCTTCAGTTCCCCACTTTTCACTTTCTTTCTCCCTTTCCTTTTTTTCTACTTACAGCAATTTGACAAATACACTCATTCTTCCAAGGAACAGGGGAAATAATTCTTCCAGATGTGTGCAGCCTGATACTGCTTCATTAAAATAAGTATTTCAACTTTCTCTTAAAAAGAATCACTTTTGAACTGTCAGGAAAAGTGATAATCATTCAATGAGATGGTAATTTTCTCCTTTAGTGAGTAATATAGTGTATTCATTCTCTTTCTAGCTAAGAGATTTTGCTTATTTTATGAAAGCAGCAAGTATATTTGTCCTTTCGCGCTTAGTGGTTTGGGTTTGGGTTGGAAGCTCTTCTGAGGGAGCATTTGCACGGAGGCTACTGCCTGAAAAACATGTATTTGGTCATCATATCCCGTGGGTTCACACTCAGACAGCAGAGCAGCAGCAAGTTGATCCATTCCCTGTTTCATTGATTGCTTTCATTCCAATTTTCCCTGTGAATTCTGCCTGAACCCCAGCATTCTCACACAACATTCAAATTTTTCCATTTTCAAAATGAACAAGGAATGAACTATTATGAAAAGAACAAAAGCATTGAGAACATAATTCACCTCCTAAGTATAACAAAACCAAAAGCAAATAAACCAACAGAGGTCGTCAGTCTGTAGATGAGTTACTGACATCCCACTAGACCACTACTCCATATTCCCTTGTGTCTCCTACTCTTCAAGGACCTCTTTGGACTATCATAAATTAGTCTGACAAATTATTTCTCCTGCCAGATTTATTCATTGTCCATTTTGTTCCAAGCAAAGGGAGCTTTGAGCACAGGGAGCTTTGTTTGTGGAGTCATCTTTTAAAGACCTGAGAAGGGTACTTTCATCAGAGTGCAGGAAGACACAGAGCTCTGAGTCTGGTGGGGTTTATACCCCATTTGTTACTGCCCCATTTTTCTGTAGTATCCTGATCTGCCCTTCCCCTACTCTCAGTGGTCTCCCCTTTGCTTTCAAGGAACAGGATCATTTGGAATCGCATCCCATTTTGCACATAACGTATATACCACTCAAATTATTTTTTGGATGCATTTTTCTTTTATTTGGGGGGTAATCTGTGACAAAGACCAAGACCTTTTAATCCAAAAATGTGTCACTGTACCCTGTATTCCCCTCAGTATAATCCTTAAGATTTATTTTCCATCCTATAAGAGATGCCCATCAAGTACCCCATTTAGCAAACTTTTCAAAAAGGTTTTACCACAAATATTGGAAAATGAATAGGACTCTTCACTCTAATTCCATTGTTATTGTCTCCAATCTTTTCTTCACTCTGTAGCTAGTCTTCTTTTCAAAGGTAGTCTGAGTGTGTAATGGACCCCGGCCTAGGTCTCTGAATAATCAACCCTTGTTTTAAAGGCTTAGGTCTTTAGCATGATGCTCAACGCCCTTCACTGTCTGGCTTTTGCCCCCCTCAGGAGCATCTCAATCTTCCATTACACCATTTATGTCCTTTTCATGCACACCAACCACCTTTATGTTGCCTTTAGTTTATCTGCTGGTGCTTCTAGGTCTCAATACATACAGACTCCATTTCCTGTAAATTCATTTAATCCTTCCTCTCCCCCTTTGAGGACCTCTTTTTTTCTATGTCTTCTCTCATCTTCCAGTGTTTCAGAAGGCCCTTCGTCTTTCAAGGCTAAGTCAACTGCCCAGATTCCTGATATTTCTTTTTATTACAACGTCAGTCAATTCCACTGCAATGAGCTATATTACTTTTTCCTAGTAGTCACCAAGTAAACTTCTTCAGGGTAAATGTGAA